TTTATATAGTTAAAATATTGTACATAGTATTCTGGCTCTTGTCTGTCCACACAACGTTAAGTTTCTACATCACACCATACTCCGTACGCTGTGCACCATACACTGTACATGATACACAAAATGAAGTAGAACGTAGAACGGGACCTACATTATACAACAATTGTAAACAAATTAAGTTCCACAGTTAAATACTCAAAGCTACATACAAGTTATTACCCACATAACCAACCATACACAAAAATGGGATAAGAATGGGATCAACATCACAGAACTTGTATTAAATGCTTTTACACAATAATTAAATTATTTTACATGTAACTTACACTTACACTCAGAAACTTCACTTGTATAGTTACTTTACTGTTTAGAATCATAATGAAACTAAAACTAGAATACTAGAGCCGATACTATCAATTAACACTACTCACAATAATATTTATAGAACATATAAACTATACAAATGAATAAACATTCAAACAAATAAACTAAAATTAAAAGACCTTGAAATAACAAAGTTATCCCAGGACCGTTTAATTAACAAAACAGGAAAGAAAATGTAAATAAAACATGTCACTCACCTCAGAAGTCAGTAACTGTAATAACACTTAAAATATACTCAGTACTTTAACTTTACAAAACTTCGGCAGTATAAAATTGGACAATCAGACAGAGCTCGTGCAGCTATATCTTCGAAAGCCGGTTTTGAGAAGGGCGGAAGCCTAAACTCAGTTGAACAAATACAGGTAGTGGAGAGGTACCAAAAAGGGTGTTTGAATAAGAGGTCAAGAATAGGGTAACTGAAAGAAACTACAGAAACTACAGAAAACAATTAGAACAATAATTAGAGTAGATTTAAAATGCAAATAGACAAAATAGCACCGTAAATGTGACAATACCTCCCACTTATGGAAAAGTATGCTAATACTTTAGAACACACATTTACGAAAGAATAAAAAAAGAGGAGTTTATATATACACAAATTGACACAAGTCATCACTACTTAGTTAAGCCTACTATGTTAATCTGCTCCTTGATTATCCCTCCCCCTAATGACGATAACTCGCTATCTATATAATTGAAGACCAAGTGTCCACCTCATGATCTTAGCGTTGATAGCTTTGGCTTTGTTCAAATACATTAACGACTGATGATCTGTTTCAATGAGGAACTCGTGTCCATACAAGTTCAGGTGGAACTTTTGGACTGCCCAAACAATTGCCAAGCATTCTTTTTCGATTGTAGAATACTTACTTTCACTGTCCTTCAATTTTCGACTTGCATACGAAGTTCAAACCACTATGCTCATCAAACTGCATCATCACAGCTCCAATTCGTCTATCCGATGCGTCAGGCTGAAGAATGAACTGTTTTGATAAATCTGGCAGTTTAAGAATAGGCGATTTCAAACGCTTTGCCTTAAATGTTTGAAATGATTTTTCCTTAGGTTGATTCCAAATAATATTATTTGGCGACCCTTCTTTGTCAGATAAGTGAGGGGTTGTGCAACAGACGAAAAATTGGGAACGAATTTCCTGTAGAAACTAACGAGTCCCAAAAAAGATTTTAACTGACGTTAAGTGTTTGGTGCTGGCGCTTCTCGAATTGCTCTTACCTTGTCTGGGTTTGGTTTTAACTGGTTCTCACCTACGATACCGCCTACGCACTCTAAACTCTTGTACCCTATTGCACACTTGGAAAGTTTTGCTGTCAAATTGGCGTTTCTCAGCCTGGTAAAGAGTTCATGAAGAACTTCCAAATGTTGATCTAAGTCCTCTGTAAAAACAATGATGTCATCGATAAAATTATCAATGTTTGACATTCCGTACAACAACTTACGCATCAGTCTGGAAAACGTCGCCGGTGCTGTCAACAAACCAAAGGGCATCACTAGAAATTGGAAGAGGCCTTTGGATGTCTGAAACGCTGTTTTGGCTTTAGCTGATGATGTTAATGGAACCTGCCAGAAGCCTTTGGATAAGTCGATCCTTGAAAATACCTTGTAGTTGAAAAGTTGAAAAACTTTGAAAAGATATCATTTGCATTTGGCATCGGTTCTGTATCGAACTGTGAACATGCACTGAGAGCTCTAAAATCTACGCAGAAACGAAAAGTGTCATCTTTGTTTCTTCAGAAGAACAACTGGAGAAGAAAATGGACTTTCTGAAGGTTCAATGACATTCAATTCCAGCATTTTCTCGACTTCCATATCAGCTATTCCCCTCATTGAAAATGGAATTGCATAAGATTTAGCTCTGATTGGTTGACTTGAGATTATCTTAATGTCGTGTTCAATAAAATTGGTGTAGCTAGCTAGATCATCAGACAATACATCAGTAAACTGATCCAAAAGTGATGTTACCTTTTTTTCTGTATTCAGGTGATAACTCTGGGTTGATGACCACACCTTCGGTATTCCCGACACTCGCTAAGCCATACTCGTCATCCTCCTCCTCCTTCAATTTACCTTTTATTTCAATCTGGTAGTCATCTTTGTTTATCTTCTTCTTGATGATTAATGTTCCTTTCCATTGCATCAGTAACTTATTTGAATCTGTGGGCAGCAATACTAAAACTTTTTCTCCTACCTTCATACTCCTTGCTCTAGTTGATCTGTTGTAGGATCTCGTCTGTCGTTGAGAAGCCTTCTCCAAGTTTTCTCTGGCTATCTCTGCCGTTGTCTCAAGTCTCTCTCGTAAATCCAACAGATAAATAGACTTCACCTGATAATCGTCTATCTCTTTTGTCCAAAGCTCTTTTAAAATGCCCATGGGCCCTCTTACGTGTCTTCCATACACTACGTCATAAGGCGAAAAGCCCTAACTTTCTTGCGGCACTTCCCTGTAAGCAAACAATACTAAGTTAATATATCTATCCCAATCACGTTGACGTTCGGAGCACATACGCTTTAACACATGTTTGAGGGTTCCCTTAAACCTCTCAACCAAGCCGTTTGTCATAAGGTGGTTAGGGGTAGTAGTGAGTTGATTTAACGATAGTAGCCGTTTTACCTCTCTCATAATTGATGATGTAAATGGAGAACCCATATCGCTCAACATTTCCCCGGGAACTCCAATTCTAGAAAATATGTCTCTGAGCGCTTCGGCAACTCTCTCCGTTTCAATTGATGGCAGTGGTACAGCTTCAGGCTATCTAGTAGCAAAATCGACCAAAGTAAGAAAATACCTATTCCCTTTGTCAGTAATATGATGAAAAGGTCCGACGATGTCTACGGCAACCCTCTTGAAAGGAACATCAACAAGTGGCATCTTCTGAAGGGGGTACTTAGAAACCTTACCTTTTTGTACGGTCCTTTGACTGATGTCACAAGAGCGACAAAACATCTTGAAATCAGTCTGTAATCTAGGCCAGTAATTCAGAAAGAATTCTTGACGTTGTACGTGATATAGCTAAATGACCAGACATGATTGACTCATGTACCAATTTCACGACAATTTCCCTCAATTTCTTTGGGACTACAAGCTGTCTGTAAGACTTACCCGATTCAGTCTTGGTTTGATATTCACGATATATAAACCCGTTGAGTATAAGCCATCGAATTGTTGCAGTACGTTTGTCAACCACTTGTCCGGAACTTGCCCATTGTCGTATTCTCTGCAGTGAGTCATCAGTCTGTTGTTCTTGTTTAATCTCGTTTGGAGTGATGTTTCCCTTAAGTATTTTTTGGAACTTGAGTTTAGGATATTGTTTTTAATTTTACCTTTGCTTGTTGACGGGTTTCAACAGCATTTGCCTCTGACCATTCAGGATCAGGATCTCCAGGTGCTCGTACCTTAGCTACATTCCCGATGATTAGATCGTAGACTGGCTCCTCCATACACCATGCTTCAAATGTTCCTGTAATATAGGGCGTGTCAACAAAGATGGAAGCAACTGGTACTCTAGTAGATGAACCATCTGCCAAAATGCATGTTTGAAACTTATCTTAAATTATTTGCTTCATCAATCTTACTTCTTCGAACCACTATGCGCTCAATGATCGGGAGGTCGTGAGTTCGTATCTCGGCCGCGACTGACCTAGTCGTTAATATTGGTAGCAACTGTTCCTTCGCCATGCGCTCGGCACTTTGAAGTGAAAATTGCGGGTCCTTCGGATGAGACCTTAAAAACCGAGGTCCCCTGTCAGCGGCAGGCGTTGGCACGATAAAGATCCCTCACTGCTCAATAGCCCTGAGTGCTTAGTAAAGGTCGAAATTTGAAGCCCTTCACCAGTATACGGTGACGTCTCCATATGAGTGAAGAATTCTCGAGAGGGACGTTAAACAAAATACAATCAATCAATTGAACCACTATGCCGCTGCATCATGTGTCTCTTAGTACCGTAACTGGCTTAAATTTAACAAAACCTGCTGATACTGGCATGTTGTGTTGCAGTTTGTAGCATGATGACGAAACTCTTGTTAATGCATCAAGATTCAAAGAATTGGTTCCAGTGTCTGTTGGCATTGTGCTTACAAATGTTACCTTTGCTGTATGTTCCTCTGTACTAGATGAAGTATCATGGATTTCCTTCTGTTCTTGCGTTGGTACAGCTCCTATCTTCGGTATCTGCATTCTGATCCAATGTGCCCTATTCTGTTGCATTTAAGGACGCTCTAAACACTGCACTACCTAAAGAGTCTTCCGGTAGCTTCGGTATTTTTTGGAACTTGGAGTGATCCGCCCTTCGTATTTATTCGGGAAAAAAAATTCCGTTAATATTCTAAAATTATAAAATGAATCACTCCCCTTTCCGCTCTTTAGGATAAAAAGGTAGGAAAAGAGTGACGAAAATGACAGACAGCATGTCCACTAATTTGACATGTTTGAGAAAACGCTATAAAAGCGGAAGGTTTCGCCCCAAAATAAAGTCTGTTCCAATTCCTACATCTGAAGCAACTGGAAGAAAAACAGAGGTCTCCAGGTAACTGCTCGATAGTCATTCTAATTCTAAAACGGCTTTCGGAAACTTGAAAAAAAACATCATGTCCTTAGAAGTAATAGTATATTTTGTTGTTATTATATTTATCGAAATTTTGTTAAGGATGGATCATGATTATTCAAGACCCCCAAATCATGGTAAAAATATTATGAGTACCACTACCAGCATTGACGAGGGTTGGTCGGAATATGATGAAGAGGACGAGGATGAATTAGATACATCCGATGAAGATTACAGAGGCGACGATAGAAACGACGATCCGCCCGACGAAACTAATGAGGAAGACACTTTGCACCCAGATGTTTCAAAGAATCTACTTGACTGGCATGAGGTATTTCTAAATGTAAACCTTATATGAGGCATTAGTCCTTTAGACAATAACTGTGTTACTACTCTTTTGCAGGGCAAATTAATCAAGTTAATAACGTATGGAAAAGTTTTTGTTGATAGATATTACATTATGTATAGTTAACAATTGCTTCTACATCATATTTCACCAAAAAATTTTCCTGCAAAAGAATAGTACAACAGTTATTTTGAAAGGGTCTCTGTTATTTTATAGGTTTGTAAAACAAGTGAAATGTTTGACAATATTATAAAACAACTTAAAAAATGATAGTTTTCTTTTTTCAAGGCTTTCTGCAAGCTACAAGTTTTACATAGAATGTGCACAAAACATGTAGAATGCAAAAATGAACTTTAGTGTTCATGAATTCCCTTTTCTGTTTTCGTTGTCTTATAATGGTATTTTACGTATTGATATTTTTTTTTATATCAATTTTACTTACAAACAAATACATGTATCATACAAAGGGTCGTCGAGTGGTTGAACTTGGTGTGCTAGCAGCACAGCTACAGAAAGGATGCAAAAAATGTGGGACTGTATTACATCTGTGTGATTGTTTTCAAGAGAGGCATTATGGCCTTGGAAGTATTTTGTACATAAAGGTAAATGTCAAATTCATCATCATCAAAATAAACACTTATAATAAATGAACTTAAATTTGTAAGTAATCACCTTGATTCATATGAAATATTTCATTAATTTTGTAGTGTACTATATGCAGTTTTATTTCAAACATCCCCACTGGAAAGTGGCATGAAAAAAACATTTGGGATGTGAACACTAAGCTTGGTGCAGGTAATTTCAGAAAACTTCGCAATATGATTTAATATTGCAGCATATTTGATAGTGAATAATATTTTATTTTCAATTCACTCTGTGTCTTGTAGGTATTACCAGCAGTGGAATAGGTTTCTCTAATTTACACATGTTATTTGCTTCATTGAATATCCCTGGTGTAGCGGCTGGAACAGTCAAGAAAAGAGACAGAAAAGCAGGAAAGGCTATTGAATCTGTTGCCAAAAAAAGTTGCAATGAGGCTCTTGATGAAGAAATAAAAATGAATGATGGGTAAATTTTATAGAATTAAATTTTATGAAAAAAAAATACCAAGCGTCATGATCTCAACAACCTTTTGTCTTTCTTATTTCTCCTATGACAGTGTAGTTTTTTTATTATATATTTTTAGGAAAGTTGAAATAAGAGTTGCGGCTGATGCTGGATGGCAAACAAGATCTAGTGGAAGGAAATATAACAGCTATTCAGGTATGCATTCAAGAAGAAACTTTGAAAAAAAAATATTTCTTTTTGAAAATAAAACTTATTTATGAGGTGATTATGAATATATCTCTTTTTATTTTTTTAACCACAGGTCACAGTTCACTAATAGGTGATAAATCTGGGAAAATAGTGCGGTATGATTATAGATGCAGAAAATGCAGACTTTGTGAAAATGCAAAAAGAAAAGGCATTCAGCCCATTAACCATGACTGCAGGTAAAAAGTTGATAAGTATCAAATATATAATATATAAAAACAAATATGTAAAGTAAAAAAAAAATCAATAGTGATTGAAGGTCACTGCAAATTAATACAGTGTATAATATTTATATTTTCTACATGCTTATTTTTATATTTCTATTTCCAGGAAGAATTGGGATGGCTCAGCCAAAGCTATGGAGCCTGACATGATTGTGGGGATGTTGAAAGACTTAGAAAAAGATCATATCCATCCACATGAATTAGTAATGGATGATGACAGTACGACAATTTCACGTGCAAGGAAAGAGTGTGAGCAAAGTATTACAAAATTCAGTGACAGAAATCACCTGAAGAAAACATTTTCAAACAAACTGTATGATTTGCAAAGATTCAAAAAGTATCAACAACTTAGAGGAAAAACTATGACACATCTAAAGAAATATTTTTCTTATGTTCTTGCCCAGAACCAGAAAAAACCTGAAGAGTTGAAAAAATCCTTATTGTGTATTATTCCTCATATGTATGGAGACCATCTGGCATGCCCTTCATGGTGTAAATATAAGCGGAATCCAGCGAGTTACCTTCCACGGAATCTTCCATACAGCAGGTATCTAACATGTCCAGAGTTGAAAAAGGACTTGGAAGCCATTATTCAGACGTATGCACAACAAGCTGATAAACTATCAGATCTTGGATCGACACAAGCATGCGAAAGTTTTAATCACATCGTTGCATCAAAAAATCCAAAGAGCCTCTTTCTGTCAGGATCAGAAAGTACAAGTTTCATAATCGCTGCAGCTGTTGCACAGAAAAACATTGGAAAGTCTTATATACAAGAAGTAGGTATATTTGAATAATCGAAAAAATTATGCAATATAAAATAATCATATACATGTATTCTCATTTCATGTAAATGAGTAATGATTATGTTTACATGTATATTTACAGGTCAATGATGAACTGAATATGTCTCCTATACAGAAAAGGCGGTTGAAAAGATGGACAGAAAAAGAAACTTACAGAAGATAAGACAGAGTAGTGCAGAGTACAAGAAAAGGAGATGCCAAATTAGGAAATCCTCAAGTCAAGATCAGGGTTGTAAAGAAGTGCGTGAAGGAAAAACATATGAAACGTCAGTTGGACTAGAGAAAATGGATGAGGAGCAGGACATCAATTCCATTCCAAGTGCCACTGTTGAACCAGAGAGAATACCACTAAGAAATACTGATAGCACATTTGTTTACTTTGACCTAGAAACAACAGGTTTAGGTAAAGTTTTATATACAGATATATATACACATGTATTTCCATGAGACATTGATATATATATATATATATATATATATATATATATATATATATATATATATATATATATATATATTTTTTTTTTCTAGAGATACATTGTCTCAGATTTGTCTTATAGGTTCATCAGCTGAAATATTGGAAATAGGAGCTGCAAGAGGACAGGATATATTTCAAAAATACATAAAACCCAATGGTACAATATCTGCAAATGCAACTTGTGTGACTGGTCTCCATATGAAAAACCATGAACTTTACTACAGGGATCAAAAACTTGCAACAACAGACTTGAAATCAGCACTCCAAAAGTTTTCAGAGTGGCTATCGGACTCAAATTCTAACATTCTTGTGAGCCACAATGGATTACGGTTTGACTTTCCATTATTTATTCAAAACATTATGTCACAAAATATTGTGATGAATACATGTATTGCCGGCTTTATCGACACTTTGGAGGTTTTTAAAAATTCTGATTTAAAGACACAAACTGGCAGTTTTTCTCAGGAGTCTCTTATGAGAGATGCAGGAATCCAGTCACTAGGGGTTTCTCATTGTGCTCTAACTGATGCTATGGACCTACAAAATTTAGTGAACTTTCATAACATTCCTTTCAACACTCTGTTGAGTCAAAGCGTCATGTACGATTATGTTTTGCAGCATCTAAAGTTTTCTTCAGTAAAGAATGACAATTTGAAATCTCTTGACATCTTAGTCCATGGAAAAGTGATTACAGAATTTATGGCAAATAAAATTGCAAAATCTGGTTTAAATATGAATTATATTAAACTAGCACACACAAGAAATGGTGAAGATGGAGTAAAAAACTTGTTTGAAGAAATTGTAAATGGTAAAGCAAGAGTTACAAAGTGTAAGAAAATAATCAACTCGGTGTCGAATTATTTGTCAAGTCAGTTGTAAAGATTTACTTCCCTTTGTTTTTATAATTGTAAAGTTATATATTATTTTATTTTTATCTCTCTTATAAACCTGGCTCCACCATGTAAGATATGAATTTTTGTACACCAAATGGCAAAACCTTTATTTAAATTTGTAGAAAAATTCAGAAATTCCATATATACAAAAAATATCTGTGATTATCCTTACATTTTTTGTAATCTTTTGTATAAAATGTCAAAATATTTCTCAACTGTTGGGGTCATTCTATGTATTTATTTTTTTTTGTATGTTGGTTTATGTAACAATGATGTAGGACTTCGAGAAATTTTGGAGAAAATTATTTATGTAAAAAATAAACATTTTTTCACTTTCCTACATATTCCCTTATTTCTATCATTTTTATTTCATTAAAAAAGGTGGCATCCTTGTATGAAAATATTTTTTAAAAATCATTAATGAACTCAGTTATAAAATATATTTCTATAAAGTCCTAAATTATCCTGATTGTCAGTGTTTAGAGCTCCCTTAAAACAACGTCTTTCCGATTTTGGAACAAATGACTTGTTTGAATTTTGTATTTTCTTTCACCTAAAAAGTCATTTTGATTTCCAGAACGGAACTTAGCTGAGTATCGAAATCCCTTGCCTCTCGACACTGGCCTGCTAATTGTGCCATCTCCCGTATACTCTTCGGTGTTCTCTCTTTTAGAAATAAGGTCAAACCTCTGCTACAAGTATTCAAGGTCTGATCACGCAATACTAAATCAAATAATGCCTCAAATGTGTCTGTTATTTTGGCCATTTTTATCCACCTTAGCAAATAACTACTCATTCTAACAGAAAATTGTACGAATGTCTCACCCGTTTCTGGTTTTACTGATTTGAACTCGTGTTTAAACTCATCCTCTGTTAGCTCATAGCGTTTAAGGAGTGCAATCTTCAGCTTGTCATAATCTAAAGCATCATCTGCTGATAATAATGCATAAATATCGAGAGCCCTACCTTTAAGGAGTGCACTTTGACTCATAGCCCAAGATGTTTTTGGCCACATTTGAAACTCTGCATATCGTTCAAATCTACATAAATAGCTGTCCATTTCATCCTTCCCATCCTCAAAAGCCGGGATTTTTGGACCTTTGAACTTAACACTTACCTCCTCAAACCCTGTTATTTTCAACTTCTCTTTTTCATGAAGCATTTCCATTTGTTTTTAATGAGTCAGCTGCTGCAGCTGCATCTGTTTATCATGTTTCTCCTCCATCCGCTGGTATTCTAGCTCCTCTTTTACACGTTCTCTTCTCTGCAAGCCGCTCTTCTCTCTGAATATCCTGTTGGTGTCTAACGAATACTCTAAGTGTATCTTCTTCATCATACGGACAAACAATAAAAAAAAAAACTGAAATTAGAAATTTCCCCACATACTAGTCTTTACACACCTGAGTTTAGTTGCAAGACTATACACGCACTTTTTTTTACTAACGCGATACGCGATGGGAAAACGCTAACTACTTACAGACACACAACTAACTGAAGTGCTGAATTTGGAAATTTCGTAATATCAGCGTCAGCTGCTGACCTCTAGGTCCCGAATAACTAGGCCACCCACTAATCTACAAAATACAGTGAAAACAATTGAATGAAAATCAAACAAGTAATAGTCTAACAAAAATGTTTCTTTGATAACCAAAACTCAATAACTAAATCAAATTATTAAAGTTTGAAATTCACTTCAATGTATATTATTCAAACGTCAAGAAAACAAATGTTAATTTTGCCAATAAAGGAAAACACTAGCACACTAGGAATTCTGTTCAATGTCTTGGTTCAAATCCAGTGCATATCGCAAGGTTTCTCTCAAGAGGTCAAATTTCCCTCAGGCACTGTTTTCATTTGAACTTCCAGGAGTTGTGCAGTTGTAGTCCAAACCATTGGAACTTCTGTCCATTTGATCTCAATCCCAATCCCAAGATCTAAATTGCTCCAGGGATCCTAGACATACCACGTGTCCAAGACATCACACGCCGAAAGGATTCCACACGTCATCGTGATATCACTCATCGAAGTTATCCCAATTCTTGTTTTCCGTTGATCCTACATGTTGAAGAAATCCCACTTGTTTTCCGTCAATCCCACTTGTTCTCCGTCAATCCCACTTGTTCTCCGTCAATCCCACTTCTGACACCATTTGTTGCGGTTAGTCCCAGTTATCCCAGGAACGTTTAATTAACAAAACAGAAAAGAAAATGTCAATAAAACATGTCACTCACCTCAGAAGTCAGTGTCTGTAATAACACTTTAAAATATACTCAGTACTTTAACTTCACCAAACTTCGGCAGTATAAAATTCGACAATCAGACAGAGCTCGTGCAGCTACTTCTTGGAAAGCCGGTTTTAAGAAAGACGGAAGCCTAAACTCAGTTGAATAAATACAGATAGTGGAGATGTACCAAAAAGGGTGTTCAAATAAGAGGTCCAGAATAGGATAACTGAAAGAAACTACAGAAAACAGTTAGAACAATAATTACAGTAAATTTAAAATGCAAATAGACGAAATAACACCGTAAATGTGACACATGTTCTGAAGCAAGTTTGGCTTCTCACATTTTACGTGACGAAAATTTTCAAAGTTAAATAGACATGTAAAAATGACGTCGGACTATCATTCCTTTACTAGAAATCATTGACCCCTGCTGAAAACTTTTATAATTCTTATTTTACTTGTACCAAAGTTTCTGCCTCTTAATCTACCTTATAGTCTACAACTAAAATATAAAGCGTTATTCATATTTATATATA